TCTCCAGATTTAGACCAGTGGAGCGTTGCCAACAGGTGCATGGACACAGACACTTTGTCATTAGGTTGTGACTGACAAATTCACATTTGTATTTCAAACCAAAGGTAGTATCAATAATGCCTCCCATCAAGAAGCAAAAATCAATTCCCAACCACATAAAGAGTTGGCATGTTCACGCTTTGTGTATTTTTTTTGCACTTCTCAAAAAAAACATGCAAGTTAAATAGAAGAAAATTCTGCCTTCTGTGTGTCCTGGGATGAAATCCAACCCTCAGAAAAGATGGTAAGGAACAAGTAAAGTGAGGAGGATACTGCATGACATTTAATTTGGTTCACTTTCACAAAGTCAAACATTTAGAGATGACAGCGATTAATGAAAGTGTAAACTAAGCTCTGTGACTTGGACTGTGTGCTCTAGATTTCAGATGTTTAGAATTTCATCATTAATTGCAAAAGGACATTAAAAATACATTTAATCACGGTTCTTGTACGAAACATAGTGCTTAGTAGTAAAATATATTTTAAACATAATTTCTATTATCAGTCTTGCAACGTGCCACGATACAGTTGTTGCACTGCCATCTTCACCTTTGTAAAGTAATACACCTGGACAATTTCACTGAATAATGGTTAATCTTTATTTTTTATTCTGAATTTGCAAATAAAGACTCTTAATGTCTGCTGCCCGTTCTTCATCAGTCAAAGCTTAATGGGAGAGTGGCAAAGAGAAAGCCACTGTGGAAAATAGCTTACATTAATCTCTCAACCAGGGTCTGGCTCTTGAGGCAGCTGCAAGAAAGTTCTTTGGGCTAATGAGGCCAAAAGGGACCAAAAAGTGAACATCATCACAAATACACCATCCCCATTGTGACGCACGGTGGTGGCAGCATCATGATGTGGGGATGCCCCTCAGCAGCAGGCCCTGGAAGGATTGTAAATGTAGAGGGTAAAATGAAGGCAGTAAAGTTAAAGGAAATGTTGGAGGACAACCTGACGCAGTTTGCAAGAAAACTGCGACTTGGAAAAAGATTTGTAATCATGTGGCGTTTGTTGGATAACTCTGATGGTACGAGACTGTTGTCTTCCCAAACACATTGCATTTAACATTTATCCTATCGACTGGGGTGCCTGCACACCCCAAAGATATACTTTCTGTCCTTTCTCACAGGCACTTGGTTCTATCATTCCAATTTTTCATGACTTTGCCAATAAGTATCAAAGCAATGGCACATTTCTAATGAATGTAAATTGATTAAAAATATAAAATATAGATAACAGAGACTGTACACACAACTGTTGTCCTTTCTTCATTAGACAAAACTTTATAGGAGAGTGGCGATGAGAAATCCACTGCTGAAAAAAAGCTTATATTATTTTCTCAACTAGAATTCATCAGGAAGCATAGGGGACTCTGAAGTCAAGTGGAAGAAGGTTGTTTGGTCTGATAAGACATAAAAATTAACTTTTTGACCATCAGACTAGATGCTGGTGATGATTGGCGGACACCAAACATGATCACCAACACACCATCCCCACTGTGAAGCATGGTGGTGGCAGCATCATCATGTGGAGATGCTTCTCAGCAGCAGGCCCTGCAAGGATTGTAAAGGTAGAGGGTAAAATGAACACAGTCAAGTTTAAGAAAATGTTGGACAGCTTGATGCAAGAAACCTGCGACTTGGGAAAATATGTGTTCCAGTAAGACAATGACCTGAAGCTGACAGTCAGAGCTACACAGAAATATTTTAAAGGCAATAAGGTGAATGTCCTGGAGTGGAGGAGTCAGAGCCCTGATCTCAGTCCAACTAAGAATCTGTAGATGGACTTGAAAAGGGCTGTTCACATACAACCCCTGTGCAACCTGACAGAGCTTGAGCAGTTTTGCAAAGAAGAATGGGGTAAAATTGCAGTGTGTAGATGTGCAAGACTGATTGAGACCAATCCACACAGGCTCCAGACTATAATTGTGGCCAAAGGTGAATCTACTGACGTGAAGAGAGTGAATATTTATGCACTCACTTATTTTACCTTTTATATTTTTCATAAATTAACATTACTTTGCAGAAATGTGTTTTCACGTTGAAATGAAAAGTCTTTTGTTGTAAATGAAAGAGAAAAAAAATAATTATGTGGACTATGTTTTAATGTTGAAAAGCAATAACAGAGAAAACTTCCATGAGGGGTAAACACTTTTTTATATGCACTGTTGGTAGTTAGTGAGTTATATGAGTGCTCATAGGAAAGTGAATTTACTGAAAGTGAAAACTACTTTTCTGATTGGTCTTGTGACACATCAGACAGGCTTCTTCACTTCAAAATACAGTCGTCAGGCTGTTGTTTGCAGATATGGGCAACCTCTTCCATGGAGAAATACATTTCGTCCTGCTTTCTTTGCCAGCAATGAAAACTTCCAAGCACTGTGTGTTTAACACATCTCAAAGGCACTTTGAGGTGGAGTACGGACTCAGAATATTTGGAAAATACTCAAGGATGACATTTAAGTGTATCTGGAGAACAAAGGAAGTGTTACCCTCCTACCATTATTTTTGAATGAACACAAGTTGACAGTGAAAAACCTAAATTGTGTTTTCTATTTGGATAATTTGGATTGGAAACGATTGGAAAACATGTTATTGTAGCTGATGCTTCAAATATGAAATGCCAACTTTCATTGCAAATCCAAACTGTGGCGCCTTTGTTCAGCTCAGCATTTAAATCTAAAACCGGCTCAAACAAAAAAACAAAACAGAAAATCACATAAAATCAAAAGATCTGATTTAGGATTCTATGACCTAAAAAAAACCCAACATATAGAGCAACTATGTTTTTCAATTAATGTGCTGAATGAGATTTCCACCGACTCCATACCATATGCTGAACAGCAACTTTGAACTCTGAGGGCGCAATCTTACCTGAGAGTCCACTCACCAGCTTTTTTTCTGGAGTTTAACTCACATTTCACGCTCTTCATCAGCAGATGGGGTTCACCCAGCTGTCACGGAGAGTGACTCAGCAGTCAGCGTCATAACTTCATCCAACCTCACATCTTTCGACGATTCATGTTGAACTTTCTATTTTCCAAACTTCTCTTTTGTCTAACAATAAAAAATAGAGATATTTGTTTCCCACAGTCAGTTTCATGTAAATACCGAGCCTTCAGACAATGCTTTCCGCCCTCTAGCTCACCGATACTCACCTTATGGCCTGTGAAGGGATGCCAGCTGGCAACCATTTCATAATTTACATGAAACAACTTAATTCGCACAAGGATTTTTTTGTCATTGTTGAACTATTGCTTGAATAGTAACTCTCCAGTAATGTCCCTTGGCTGATAAATACTTTCAAAGAAAGATGAGTAATGGTTTCTTAACTGTTCATTCCTTGTATCTGATAAATTTGATTGTTTCTTCACAAACTGGGCCCTGGCAAGGTGTGTTTAAACAAAGACCATCATCAGGCTTTGCTTCAGATTGACTCAAAAACATTTTACCTTGATGCAAAAAAATATTCATTTCCTCCAAATGTGGCGGCACAATGATGAAGACTGTGACAACAATGCGTCTCATTTGACAAGAATACACTGAAGGCTGAAAAACACTCATCCTCCCACTGAAAAGCTAACACTTCATCGAGACTACAAAGCTTTTATGAGATCGCGAATAAGGAACGAGACGGTTATCGAATAAATTGGGCTCATCTTCATAAAGCTCGAGCCTGAGATGTACAATGTGTATTACTGGATGTTATCTAATCCTTAAAAATAAAGAGAAACCGAATGCACACAAATCCGCACATTACACTGAGCTGCCTGTGGTAAGGCATATTAAATAACAAATCAAATGCTACACATTTGGCCCCCTGGGTGAAATTATAATAGAATAATGACAAAGAGAAACACTAAAAAGAGAGAAAGGAGTCAATGTATGCAGTAGTCATTACTACCGACAAATAACCCCTTGATTCATTTTGGTGCCATTTCACATCATAAGGCAACAATTAATTATTTTAGACTCTGGCTCATAATTGAAGTTTCTTTCTTAGGATTCTTTGCATCATTTATATGCGTTCACCGACCTACAACAAAAAGCGTCAATGCAGCTACATCCATGCATACAGAGTCCTCCCCTCCTCTGTAATGTCAGCTTCTACATGTAGCTCATGATACAAATGCTGCGGTGAGGTCTAGGATTACATTTCTCGCCCTTTTGGATAATGCACCATCCTCAGAACACCTCTGGTCCATGTAATGACAGGAAGGGAACAAATCAGACGACGGGAGAAAGGAAGTTCATGACTAATGATTGTAAATCCATTTGAAGGAGATAAACACAGTCCTAGTCGACTGCCTGCCCACAGTCTAAGAAAGTGCCAGCTTTGTCAAACGTAGTCATGCTCTACCAAATATTAAACATCAAGGGTCTCTTGCTGACAGCAGCCCGACTGCGCACCGTTATCCCGTTGCCTTATTATACTGAATAAATCCTCTCCATGTCAAGCACCATGCCTGGATTTTAAGACCTAATTTAATTCCAGCTATGTGCAGCTCTGGCGCTCTGACGTTATGACTCTGATGCAGTGTGGTCCGAATGTGTCAGAAGGACTCTGAGAACAAAGAACCCTGTGAATGACAGACTGGAAAAACATTAACATTCATTAAGTTACAGATAGACGTTTCCACTAAATCTTCCAATATTTCTCTTAGCCTTTTGGGAAAATGCATTTATATTCATAAAATTCCAGCTCTTCAGTACCTCTAATTGAATCTAAAGTTAGCCATCCTATTAAAAGTATGGATGAGAGCACAAAACTGTACCTCCTGAAGAGCCAAGATGAGATGTTGCCAAAGCCACAGCGACACAAAGGGTTCCACGTTAAGACTGCCACCATTTTTCATAAATTATTGAGCAGCGGTTCAAGAGAGAGAGGAAATATCTCTTGACCACGTATGCTTTGAATAAATTACATTGTGCACCATGAGGCAATATTCCAAGGCAGCATAATACAACTGTGAAAATTGTTTATTTTCATCCATCCTTCTGCCACCATTCATCCATAATGCTGCCAGCAAATACAATGACATTGTTTCTGAGACAGCTGGGAAATGTTCTAGTCATCACCCCCGAAAACCACGTTTCTGCCAAAAACACTGTGCTCTGTGACTGGGTATAAGCCATCTGAGTTCAGACCACACAGCGAAAACAAAGGAAGACAACAAACCGAGTGACTCCTGTTAACGCATGGGTTAATCAGTGACAAACGCAGTGTCAACATCACATCCACAGAGGAAGTTACAAAGTAGGAAACTTAACTTTGATGTTGAACTCGACTCAAAGCTTAAATCATTGAAAACATTTTGCAACTTTAATACAGATACAGTGACTTTAAAAGGTTCAACAAGTTGGAATATGCACCACCTGCAACCTCCAGTCGTCATACAAACATTTATTTCTACATGTAGTTTAAAAAAAAAAAAAAAGAAGAATGCAAATCATGCATCTTGAAAGAAAGAGTCCAGATCCTCTGTGATCTCAGCCAAATGCTGGGGGGCGTTTGCTGCTGCTGCTGCTGCCTCTCGAGCTGCAGTTGATCCTCTGCCCGAGTTTTCTTGCGACCTCTGTGGAGTGTCCGTCTCTCGCTTTATGTCCTTGCCTCCGCCCAAAACTTTCTGGCTCTCTATGAAGTACTGGTTGGGGTGATTGAGTGAGAAAGTGGTGTCCTCAATCTGCTCGAGAAATGAGAAAACACGGGAGAGGAAGGTCAAGAGAAAAATAAGAGCAGTCTTAGTTCTCACCAAAGTGGCAGGTTGGGAGGCGTAATGACTGATTCCAGGTGATATCTTTCATCAGGTGATCATTTTCCACCTCCTTCACTGAGGGACCATGAGGAATGGTTTACTAATTTGTAATTTACTAACAATTTACTAATTTATTACCATTATTGAGGACCGCAGGCTTTCGCAGCCACATTAGCGAGCTAAGTCACCAGCTAACTACTCCATCAGAGCACGGTGAAAAGATGAAACGCCCTTTCGGGAAATAAATGTCAAAATCACTCATGGTGGAGGAAAAAAAAACAATGAAACAATTAACAGATGAAGTTCAAATACTCCTTCGATAACCTTTTGCATGATTTTGAAACAGTTATGTTGTTGTGACTGATGTTTTCAAAAGCTTTCATACTAAAGGACTGAATTATTGAAATGACTGTGAAACATTTGAGCACAACAGCACCAGCACACTCCATGTACCAAATTAAGGTTAGCAACGAGGCATTTTGTCATTTCTACCTGTTGAACAGCGAGAGTGAAGGAGATTATTTAAAAAAAAAACATGCTGTAGCATTAACAACACTTAAAGGGCACTTATGTAGGGATTTTTACAGCTTCCGTGTACAACGCTCCAATATATCTGCAGGAGGGCTGAAATGGTTGATGATCAATTCCGACTACTCCTCCGGCTGCTGAGATGTTTGGCTTCCCAAAGTGAGTCTGCACTCTTGCACTCAGCGTACTGTGTAAAATCATTGCTTTCAGCAGCTGCTAGCATCATAAAAATGTGAATTCAATGTGTATATATTGTCCTGTGAGGCAAATTAATTCATTTTACACATGACTGCGGAACATAGCATCTTTGTTTTTTAATCAATTGCTCGCTCCGAATAGATGAATGTACACGGAATGACTGCGAGCAAACAAATGACCCGCACATTGTTAATTAAACACAACAAACAGCAACCCAAGTAGCCCTGGGTTACAACTGTATATTCTCCACAGAAAAATTTGGAGCAGATGTGTGACGACCAACTAAAATCATATTCCTACCATAATTAGCTAAATTATACATGAAATAGGCTGGACCTGCTCCATACTAGATGGTTTTGAGTAAGACGGTGTTGTTTTTTGACGGACGAAAGAGCACGTTTGTTCTGTTACAAATATGACACACCCTTGCTCAATTCAATACACTAACGCGCTACAGGATAGTAGACTGTTTTGTTATACCGCTTTAATAATGTAGAACAATGTCACCGACTGTGGTAAAGTCCAAACTTTGGAGTTTTGTACACCCACTGTATGCTGTTTTTCAT